TCGACTGCGCCGCGCCCGCCTCTGGGTGGAGGTGCCTCTCTCTGCAGGTGGCCTCGGAGATGGGCGGCAAGGGCTCCGAGGGCTCCCTGTCTGCGGAGCTGCGGCCTCCCTCCGCACTCCGGACCGCCGCCACGGTCCAGGACAAGGGGCCGGAGTGCAGGCTCCTAGGCCCACCCCTTGTCCTGCCACCGGTGCAAAGTCGTCGCGCGTCCCCTTCGCTCCTGGGGATCCTCGTCTGTGAGGGGAGAGGGCTGGTCTTCAGGTTTGGAGGACTTTGTCTCTATGACCATTATGGCCACATCTGTGAAATAAGGTTAAGGCGAAAGCAGTGGAGCGTCCAGGTGGGGATGTTTAGGTTAGGGTTAGACTATGGATTCCCAGGCCTCCCTCCCCGCAGGCTACAACTGTCTTAGGAGTGGAGGCTCAGGACTGCCCTGGGGTTTCTGGAGTTTGGTAGTGTGGAGGGCGTCCTCAGTGTCCTCATCTGTTACACAGAGACACGAAGCCAGAGCAGAGTGTGGCTACCTTATTGCTTCAGCGACTTGCCAGAGCAGTCATTTCTAAGAGGCTCCCCTTGACCCTACAGCGGTATTTGGGGACCCAGGCCAATCAGCAGACGGCAGCCTCAGTCTGTTCACCCAGAAGGTGGGGCTACCTACCAGGATCTGGACCACCTGCCTTCCCCTCCCTCTTCCTTCAGGGCTGGTGAGCCCTTCAGCTCTTCCTCACCACTTCCTCCTCCCGGCTGGGGAAGCAGAGGCAGAGCTGGGGCATCCTCGGCCCCAGCCCAAGCATCGCCTCCCACTCCTCCCCACAGCCACCCGAGAGTCGGCCTTCGTGCACGCCATTGCCTCCGCCGGTGTGGCCTTTGCCGTCACACGCTCCTGCGCCGAGGGTACCTCCACCATCTGTGGCTGTGACTCACACCATAAGGGACCACCTGGCGAAGGCTGGAAGTGGGGGGGCTGCAGCGAGGATGCTGACTTCGGGGTGCTCGTGTCCCGAGAGTTTGCTGATGCCCGAGAGAACCGACCAGATGCCCGCTCAGCCATGAACAAACACAACAACGAAGCAGGCCGCACGGTGAGCCTTGGTGCCTTTGCCCCATCCTTTGGGAATCCACCCCGGACCCCTGCCCTGCCCCTGGCCTGGCCCTGGGCTGCTCCTTCAGGAGGCCTTGGGCATCCTGGGCTCCCTTTTGCCTTGGCTCCCACTCACCCGCCGCAGTGGCTTCCTCCTTGGAAGAGTCCTGGTCTGTGTCAGGAGACTGCTGGGACCAGAGTGACCGCTGTGGGAACAGGAGCCCCCGCCCATTCTGTGCAGTTTGGCGGGCTGTGTAGATGTTGGGCTGTGCAGTCCTGAGACCTGACTTCGAGTTCAGCCTCTCTATCCCTGGTTATATGACCTCAGTGGGGCACTTAGCGCTCCCAGCCTCAGTGTCCCCATGTGTCAAATGGGGTTGTTTCTTACCACTTTGAGAAATGAACGTGAGGTCTGTCAGCGCTTGGGGTGTCACCCAGGGAAACGACTTGAGGTCAGTACCTCAGTCTCCGCCATTCTGTTCTTGGCACAGACTAGGAATAGAGAAGGCTGGAGGGGTGAGGGGGCCAGGGGATGCGGGGCGTGAGGCAGAGTGGGAAGGTGCTCCCAGGAAGGGTCGGTCGGGTCAGCTGCGATTCCTCTTCTCCAGACCATCTTGGACCACATGCATCTCAAGTGCAAGTGCCACGGGCTGTCGGGAAGCTGTGAGGTGAAGACCTGCTGGTGGGCCCAGCCTGACTTCCGTGCCATCGGGGACTTCCTCAAAGACAAGTATGACAGCGCCTCAGAGATGGTGGTGGAGAAGCACCGGGAGTCCCGAGGCTGGGTGGAGACTCTCCGGGCCAAGTACGCGCTCTTCAAGCCGCCCACCGAGAGGGACTTGGTCTACTATGAGAACTCCCCCAACTTTTGTGAGCCCAACCCAGAGACGGGCTCTTTCGGCACCAGGGACCGGACTTGCAATGTCACCTCCCACGGCATCGACGGCTGTGATTTGCTGTGTTGTGGCCGCGGCCACAACACGAGGACGGAGAAGCGGAAGGAGAAGTGCCACTGCATCTTCCACTGGTGCTGCTACGTCAGCTGCCAGGAGTGCATCCGAATCTATGATGTGCACACCTGCAAGTAGGGAACCAGGTAGGGTGAGGGGTGGGGAGGCAAGGAAGCGGGCTGGCCATTGCTTCTTCTGGCATTTCCTGTTTTATTGCCAAGCTGCAGGAGACACACAGTTCCCATAGCCAAAACAGGAAGCTAGGATTTCCCAGGCTTCATTAGGTATGGTTCCTGGGCAGCAACTTGGTGGATTACACAAAGCACAGATAATAACCAAGTGTATGCACGGAAGCCACAAGCAGTTGATTACAATTAGTAAATTATGAGCCAGACTGGAGAGACACTGGCTATCACTGTGAGCATCTGTGGAGCTAGAAGAGAGACACTGTGGGGTTGGAAGCTGGCAGACTTGATGTCTGGTCCTGACTTTGCCCCTAAATTCCTATTCTTTCACTTTTGGGGTCCTCTTTCCTTACTGTTAAATGAGGGGGTTAAAATACTTGAAACCGCGGGCTGAAAAGGCTCTTCTACCCCTTGGGCAGAGTCGTCTTGCATCTACCTTGAATTTAATGGGCGAGTTTTGCACAAGCATGAATCCTCCCAACCTTAGGGAGGTGGGTGGGGGAAGCACTGGGTAAGCCTGTATCCGACAGATCTGAAGCTTATGGCTGGTGATGGGAAGGAAGAGGGACTCAAGTTCAGAGTGATCGTGATGAGTAATCAAGGATCAAAGTCTGGTGGAGTCTGTTCTCAAGCTTCCCAGAAGTGACCTGTGTGGGAGGCACTACGCCCTTGCCCTCAGATCCATAGGACCCCAAGACAGGTGAACACGGCTGTAGAGAGGTCCAGGAACCTCAGGTGTGTGTGATTCTAAAGCACTTTTCCCCTTTCTGTCCCCTAAGAAGGGGCCTACCATATAGAGGTGTGAGCGTGGGCTGGTCTAGCTTCTCCCACTAATTTCCCCAGAGGTGCTGTGAGGGGACAGAATTTGGTTCATTGAAAAGCACTGCCTGCTGGGGCGTGGCTGTCCAGGGTAGGTTGGGGGAGAGCATGCTGTAGGCATGGGAAGAACCTGACAGCATGGGGAGTAGCTCCAGTTGAGGGGTACCTCCTTCCTAACCCATTTAGGAAGACCCTTGGTGGAGGCCAACTTACGTCCCTGGCAAGACAAGAGTCCAAAGAGGCGGTTGGAGCTGTGACTTCTCAGTGTCAGGATGAAGCAGTATAGGGAGGGGAAAGAAAACAAAAGTGAGCCCACACCACCCCTGGTGGCTTTGTTACCTTGAGTCCTCAGGTTCTGATCTCTACAGTGGTGGCGATGAGGGAGGTGTAGCTGAATTATGAGGCTCAAGTTAGCTAACAGATGTGTGTCTCTGAATGTAGCACTAATAGGAAGTATGATAAATGCTATCAGAGCCCTGACAGGGCAGTCACTGTGAAAAGAAACAGCATCATTAGCTATGCACAATGACAGAAGAAAAGTCAGCAAGTAAGACTCACAAGCCCACCGTGGAATGCCCAAGTGGAAGGAGGTGAAAATTATAGTAGTCACCTTCCTTGGATGTTTGCTGTGGCCAGGGGCAGCACAGGATCCCCACTGTCCAATGAGACATAGCTCTGGCAATTCTGAGAGGGGATGAGGGAAGAGCGGAGTTTTAGAACACTAGCTCTGGATGGGGTGAAGGGCCATT